CAGAGAAAATACTGTACATGGAACAATAAAGACCTGGCTTAATTACCTTTAGTTTGAGGCTACCACTTGCTCTAACCGGGTCACCCTATATAATGGCCACAAATGAAAGATACATGGGTTTTGGAAAGAACACTTAACTTGATTTGTTGACAGCGTGTTGAAGATGGTACACCTTTGGTTTCCATAACACTACGTCCAAGTAAAATTAACAGGAGCCGTATTTGCTCCTGTGAGCCTCTGGTCTAGTATCAACAACAGCAATGTCTAACACTCCATACTATTGACGCTACTGGCCGACATTGTCCAGATATAATAGGAGCCGAATTTGCTCCACTCGTCTCGGAGGTGACAACAACAAAGGCTCCCTCCTTCCCCACTCCTGACGCCTGGCCTACATTGTCCAGATGTCAATAAGTGATAGAAGGGTCACATTTACTCTACTTTAATATTGATAATTAAGTTAATTTATATGAGATGGTTTTATGATGGTAAAGTCCAAAGACTAATGTATTTAGGAATAATTCCCAGCAGAATAGCTGGTGAATTATAATAGTATGTGGTGATGATATCCCGTTTTCTTTAGACGGTAATTCCACTACAAGTTACGTTTTCTATGGTTAACTTGTTTATACAACACAGCTACAATTATCTGTATGTATGATATATTAAATGGTGTCGGATTTTCCGACAACGTTTTGTGCTGCCAATAAATATAGGTTTCAGATCTGAACATAGCTTTTTTCAGATCATAGCTGTTTATACTGGTGCTTTCAGTTCGTTGGGAGTTAGTAATTTCTTTCCTATCAGACCTGAGTGTTTGTAACATTATAGTCTTGACAGCAAAGTTAAGGATACCTAGATCTAATTCAAGTTCATCTTTGTTACACGCTAATTTGGCTGCAATATCTGTGTCATTATGACGAGTTATGTTTATGTGATGGTACCCATACGAAGGAGATTCGAAACCCTTTACTCTGTGCAGCGATTAGGTCATTTATAATTGGTAGTATGAGTTTCTCTGTCCTTCTTCCAGGAGAAGTTTTCGATTACGTGAAGAGCAAACTTTGAATCCCAAAATATTATTCCTCCAATGTTTTTAATGTACTTTTTTTTCTCTCTCTCTCTACCACAGACGTGGCCACACATTTACAATGCTAACCAGCATATATACATTTTCTTCTGTCCTCCATGGACAGGGTTAGAGATCAGTTAAACATATAGTTCAGGGATTTATTGAACAATCAACCACAGAAGCTGATTCGGTACTTTTAAAACAACCCGTTCTCGCAAATTCGTAAAGTCAATATTGACTTATTAACTACGTGCATAGGTGATATACTAAACATAATAGATACCCTTAAAAAGATTCATAGAAAACACCGACCTTACCTAACCTTGTTAGTATCTTAAGATAAGCATCTTATTGCTTCGTAATTACAATTATTACTTAACCTATACCTATTATAGGTTAGGTAATAATTGTAATTACGAAGCAATAAGATGCTTATCTTAACATACTAAGTAGGTTAGGTAAGGTCGGTGTTTTCTATGAATCTTTTTAAGGGTATCTATTATGTTTAGTATGTCACCTATGCACATATTTAATAAGTCAATATTGACTTATTAAATTTGCGAGAACGGGTTGTTTAAAATGCTAAGCTTAACCTATATACGTAAATACATAGATACACAGATTTACGTATGCCCTACATAATGTGTTCGAAGTGTCATTAATGTGCATTTACAAAGGTGAAGTGCAATTCTGATCAGCTTCCATATGTACTTTATACACATACACACATATATACGTACATATACATATATACATGCATATATACACACACATGCATTCACATACATTTGTCTCTTTTACTCTGACAGGGTGAGATAGCTGATAGAGAAACTAGTGTGCAATTAAGCACTTAATCACTGAAGGTGATTAAGGTGCTTTTACAAGCTCAGGTTATATAGTTACATCACATACATACATTATATAAATGATACATTATATGGTCAATCTTGGATACAAGTCCAATATATCATCAAGTGTTCCAGTACTCATATAGTAATTACAGAGTTCAGCATACCTCAGCCCAGGAGGGCGTAAGTCAGACAATATGGGACATTCTACAATATAATGTTCAAGAGAGTGCATGTTTTCTCTTTCACAAAGTTGACACATTGTGTACTCGACATACTGGTAGCTGGGTAATAGTTTTTTTTTTATTAAGATATGAGGTACATCTGCATTAGTGCAGCTACCCTAGACTATATGAAGTGGAGTACAGTGTGTCAAAAAGAAGCTAACTAGGTGATGCTAAAAAATCCCCATCACACAGCATGGTTAGTCATACAGAGGCATGTGATAAGCGGTCGCAGGCACTCCGGATGCATTTTGAGGATATCATCAACACAAGATTGAATAAGGCAGCAGTGGTAATACAAGTCCCCATCTCGCAGGATGGTTAGTCATACAGAGCCATGTGTTTAGTAGCCTGCACTGGCAAATTTTGGGTATACTGTGAGGATATCTTCAAGAATACGAGAGTGAATAAAGTAATTGCAAAGCTCCAGGTACCTCATGCCAACTGGTCTGGAAGGTCTAATAACTGGGCATTCAGTGATGTAGTGCGGGAGATCATGCCGTAGTTCCTGCTCACAGAGTTTGCAACTGGAGTGCTCAGGATTGGGAGACCCGTCACCTGTAGCCACCTGCCACAGGTAACGGTAACCCAGCCTGATCCTTAATTGTTGGCAACGCTTCCCGAGATAAATCTCAGTATTCTATTTGCCTTGTTTCGTATGTCAGTTCAGACGATGAGTCACAATGACGTGGCTGAAGACGTGATGACCCAACACACACCACAAGGTGAGGAGACGACCACGTTTCGGTCCGTCCTCGACCATTACCACGTCGAATATTATATGTCACGTCGAATATTATATGTCACGTCGAATATTATATGTCACGTCGAATATTATATGTCACGTCGAATATTATATGTCACGTCGAATATTATATGTCACGTCGAATCATTATATGTCACGTCGAATATTATATGTCACGTCGAATATTATATGTCACGTCGAATATTATATGTCACGTCGAATCATTATATGTCACGTCGAATATTATGTCACGTCGAATATTATATGTCACGTCGAATATTATGTCACGTCGAATCATTATATGTCACGTCGAATATTATATGTCACGTCGAATATTATATGTCACGTCGAATCATTATATGTCACGTCGAATCATTATATGTCACGTCGAATCATTATATGTCACGTCGAATCATTATATGTCACGTCGAATCATTATATGTCACGTCGAATATTATATGTCACGTCGAATATTATATGTCACGTCGAATATTATATGTCACGTCGAATATTATATGTCACGTCGAATCATTATATGTCACGTCGAATATTATGTCACGTCGAATATTATGTCACGTCGAATATTATGTCACGTCGAATCATTATATGTCACGTCGAATCATTATATGTCACGTCGAATATTATGTCACGTCGAATATTATGTCACGTCGAATCATTATATGTCACGTCGAATATTATGTCACGTCGAATACTATATGTCACGTCGAATCATTATGTCACGTCGAATCATTACATGTCACGTCGAATCATTATATGTCACGTCGAATCATTATATGTCACGTCGAATCATTATATGTCACGTCGAATATTATGTCACGTCGAATACTATATGTCACGTCGAATCATTATATGTCACGTCGAATCATTATATCATCGTTTCTTCATCTTCTAGTGTGCGGTTTAGTCATTTTCATGCGTCGGTGTTTCGTACACCTTGAAAGTCTATTGTGTAAAAATTCACGTAGTAATTTTGTCTATATGAGCACAGATTAGAACACGAAATCGCATATATAAATCGGTTAAGTTTAAATCTAGGAAAGACCTGGTTAAATACTGGTTTGAAAACTTAGTATTTTGGGGTGTGGATTTTATTAACAAAAATTCCCTTGTAACACAATAGTCGTGGGATAACGTCATTGTTTCAAGCGTAGGTTAGACATATTTAATATAGATTCTAATACTATCCTAGAAGGAGGCACTTATGGCCCAATAAGACCTGCCTTGTAAGGGCCAATATATTGCTATAGTTTTCTTAATTCTTATCGGCTAACAAAATTAATTAAATATTAATTTTTTAGGGCATTTGATAAAGCAGGCTTTGACTACATTAAATTAATAATTATAAATAAACTAAATATATTCTTGTAATATATTCTTGAACAAAGTTTTCTGTTTTGGGCAATGATGAAAACAAAAAAAAAAAAGGTCTGTTTGGCTGTTCGAAATTTTTTGAGATAGGAAGTAATGGGGGCGAGGTTCGAACCCTGTCACCCCGGCCTGTTAGGCTTGAGTGAGCGCCGGTACAATATCCTCTGCCAATGACACAGTACCTGTGTGGGGTGGGTATTAACTAGGGGTCACCGTGCTGGTACTGATCCTATCGGTAGTGACCACGTCCTGCCCACGCTCCCACGGTCATCACAGCCTCCTCCCACGCTCCCACGGTCATCACAGCCTCCTGCCCACGCTCTCAGGGTCATCACAGCCTCCTCCCACGCTCTCACGGTCATCACAGCCTCCTCCCACGCTCTCACGGTCATCACAGCCTCCTCCCACGCTCTCACGGTCATCACAGCCTCCTCCCACGCTCTCACGGTCATCACAGCCTCCTCCCACGCTCTCAGGGTCATTACAGCCTCCTCCCACGTTCTCACGGTCATCACAGCCTCCTCCCACGCTCTCACGGTCATCACAGCCTCCTCCCACGCTCTCACGGCCATCACAGCCTCCTCCCACGCTCTCAGGGTCATTACAGCCTCCTCCCACGTTCTCACGGTCATCACAGCCTCCTCCCACGCTCTCACGGCCATCACAGCCTCCTCCCACGCTCTCACGGTCATCACAGCCTCCTGCCCACGCTCTCACGGCCATCACAGCCTCCTGCCCACGCTCTCACGGCCATCACAGCCTCCTCCCACGCTCTCAGGGTCATCAAAGCCTCCTCCCATGCTCTCAGGGTCATTACAGCCTCCTCCCATGCTCTCACGGTCATCACAGCCTCCTCCCACGCTCCCACGGTCATCACAGCCTCCTTCCACGCTCTCACGGTCATCACAGCCTCCTCCCACGCTCTCACGGTCATCACAGCCTCCTCCCACGCTCTCGGGGTCATTACAGCCTCCTCCCATGCTCTCGGGGTCATTACAGCCTCCTCCCATGCTCTCGGGGTCATTACAGCCTCCTCCCATGCTCTCGGGGTCATTACAGCCTCCTCCCATGCTCTCGGGGTCATTACAGCCTCCTCCCATGCTCTCGGGGTCATTACAGCCTCCTCCCATGCTCTCGGGGTCATTACAGCCTCCTCCCATGCTCTCGGGGTCATTACAGCCTCCTCCCATGCTCTCGGGGTCATTACAGCCTCCTCCCATGCTCTCGGGGTCATTACAGCCTCCTCCCATGCTCTCGGGGTCATTACAGCCTCCTCCCATGCTCTCGGGGTCATTACAGCCTCCTCCCATGCTCTCGGGGTCATTACAGCCTCCTCCCATGCTCTCGGGGTCATTACAGCCTTCTCCCATGCTCTCGGGGTCATTACAGCCTCCTCCCATGCTCTCGGGGTCATTACAGCCTCCTCCCATGCTCTCGGGGTCATTACAGCCTCCTCCCATGCTCTCGGGGTCATTACAGCCTCCTCCCATGCTCTCGGGGTCATTACAGCCTCCTCCCATGCTCTCGGGGTCATTACAGCCTCCTCCCATGCTCTCGGGGTCATTACAGCCTCCTCCCATGCTCTCGGGGTCATTACAGCCTCCTCCCATGCTCTCGGGGTCATTACAGCCTCCTCCCATGCTCTCGGGGTCATTACAGCCTCCTCCCATGCTCTCGGGGTCATTACAGCCTCCTCCCATGCTCTCAGGGTCATTACAGCCTCCTCCCATGCTCTCAGGGTCATTACAGCCTCCTCCCATGCTCTCAGGGTCATTACAGCCTCCTCCCATGCTCTCAGGGTCATTACAGCCTCCTCCCAGGCTCTTAGGGTCATCAAAGCCTCCTCCCAGGCTCTCAGGGTCATCACAGCCTCATTAGGTTACTGTTAGCCCAGTTCATTGTTTAACGTTAGAATCGGTGTTGGGCAGCCGGTGGGGGGGGGGGGGTGCGTGGTGTAGGACGGCCAAGGGAGGGGGGGGGGGCGCTGCGGTGTAGCGATCCTGGACGAACTTGCATGCATGGGTGTCAAGGGGAGACTCTTGAAATGGATTGAAGACTACCTCACAGGTAGGAAAGCAAAGGTCTGCTTCATAGGAGCATCCCCTCCCTGTCCGGCTAGGTGTTGCTATGAGGGGGGCTTTGTGGGCGGCTGCCGGGGTGTGATGCTCCATGGGACAGTCCTCTCTCCTTTTGTGGCCTTATACTCCTGCTGCTGTCCTCACTAATTTTGCTGGGCATCTTTTCCTCTTGTTTTTTTTCTCCCCCCCCTCCGCCCTCTCTTCTCCTTTCTAATTGTCATTTCCCGCTGATCTTGTGCCTGTTTTGATCATTCTTTTGGCCTTCTTTTGTTTTGATACCCGAGTGTTTGAGGAGGCATACTCTTGCACCTGTAGAACTGTAGTACCAAACATTTTGAGCAAGGTGACCCTTTTATTGTTAATCCTCCTTTCGTCACTGAACCAGTTCTCGACAGACTGACGGTTCTTATAAGGTGGCGTTTATGGGGTGTATACTCACGATGCACCCCTAGGGGACCCCGGCATGATCGGCAACATGTCTCTTGTTGGGTGTTCTGCCTCTAATTGTGGCTCCGTAGTGGGTGTGGGGGCACATTTGTAAATGAACGTCTTACCTCTCGTCTCTGTTTCAATCTGTTCCTCTTATACCTTTTTGGACTCGTGGGGTGGGCGACTAAGCCCTTGAGTCGGACTGTGTTGGAAGACCGGACTCTGTAGCCCCTGTTGCATTGGGCCCCGACCTTGCTCCTCCTTTAACCCTCCTGACTACTCCCCTCATCTCCCTTGTGGTTGGGTCGAGCCACAAGCCCCCAGTGGTGATCTCCTCGTCCCCTGGCTCAGTTCAGTCTGTCGTTGTGACTACTGCACCTTTTAACCCCTCTCTTCCTGGGGGTTCTCAACACCGTCCAAGCCACGGCTGAACTTGCACAATCCCTTCCCGTACTGATGCATACCAAGCCTTGTTTGGTCCCGCTTTATGGGCCAAATACTTTGATCTCCTCCCTCTGGATTCTTCACCTCCTGACAATTTCTCCCTCCATAGGCACCTTGTTGATTCCGTAGATGCCTTGTTACTTTCAACCCCACTCGTCTCGGTACACGTGTCATTGCTGCTCATTTTCAGGATGCAGCCACCCGCGTGGCTGCTTTATCCTGCCTTGGCGAGACCCCTGTTTGGGTCTCCAAGAACGCTCGGTTGAATGCCAGTGTTGGCACTTCTCCTCCCACCTCATGTTGCGACCGGTGTTAGGAATCAACAGGCCTGCCACGAAGATATTCGGCATATTCTTGAAAACCAGGGCCATTCTGTCCTCCAGGTAGACACGTTTACTCGTCCCCCTCTTTGTCGTCACCGTCAACCACTTCGGGTTGTGAAGATTACCTTTCATGGTAGGACCCTTCTGCCCTTTGTCATTCTTGCTGGTGCCAGGTGCTCCGTCCAGGAGTACATTCCCTATCCTCGGCTCTGTAATAAGTGCTGGAGGTTTGGGCATGGTGCCCTCCGATGCTCCAGTACTGTCTCTGTCCCTTGTGTGGGGGCAATGGTCACTCTTAAGTCGGAGTGCACTTCTCCCCAGGCTCGCTACCTCAATTATGGTGAGGCCCACCCTATCTTCTCCCGCGCGTGTATACATTACAAGCTTGAGGTAGCCGTCCTCAACTTGAAGCACCGGGAATGTTTGTCTTTTCCTAAGGCGAGACGCCAAGTGCGCTGTCTCCCACCTTACGCTAACGTCTCTTATGCTCATGTGTCTTATATTCACGTGTTGCGCTCTTCCTCTCTTCGTCCTTCCCACCTTCCTCAGTCTCAAAACCGTTTCCATGCCTTGGACCCAGACATGCCCACCGCCTCCTCCTCTGTTCCTTTACGTTCTGTCCTGAAGGGTCCCCCCTAATGGTTCTCTGTCTGGGGTTCCCCTTCTTTCTGCCCCGTTTGTCATGTCTCCTGTGTCTTCTTCCTCGTCTTCCTCCGATCCTCCTTCTCATCCTTCTCCGTCTATTAGCTCTCTACGCCGCCTGTCAGTGCGGGCTGATGTCCATCACTCTCCCAACGGCCATCGTGTTTGCTCTCGTTCTGCTTCTCCTGTTGAGATGCTTGAATCTGTTTCCCAGTACATTGTTGCTGGGACGCCTGTCTCTTTGAGTCTGAAGGGAAAGCCTAGCTCCTCTCCTTCCTCCTCCCTGGCGGGTAAGAAGGCTTCGCTTTCTTCCTCGCCCCCTACCTCTGACACTCGCTCCGTCCCGTCCCGTTTCAGTGGTTGCGCCCCCTGTTCCTGCTATGGAGGATTCTTTGGCCCCCGCTTCCCTCTCAGTTGCTGCCCTTGCTGTTGTACACTCCCTGGTATCTGACCCTCCTGCTGCTCTGTCCTTGACCCTCGGTTGTCCCCTCTCCCCCTCCTCCTCCTGCTCCTCTGAACCCTGATCGTCCACCTCTGGTCGGTCCTCCAGCTCCCTTCCCTCATTTACTCAGTTTACCCATGCCCCCTAACCCTGACTTTGCTGACCCTGACCCTGATCTTGATCCTGCGCTTCTTTAACGTGCAGTGTTCTTTTTTCAATTTTGTTTCTTCGTTGATCTCTGTTGCTGTCCTTTCGCTTCTTGTCGATGTCCATTCTTCAGTGGAACATTCTTGGATATTACGCCAATTTCCTTGAACTCCACCTTCTGATTTCACGGTTTTCACCCCTTTGTGTCTGTCTCCAGGAGCCGATGCTTGGTGCTCGTCCTGGTCACTTCCGTGGCTATTCTTTTCTCTCCCATCCCCCAGCTATTGCTGGGGCTCCTAACTCTTTTTCTGTCTTGATTCGCTCTGATGTTCCCTTCGCCCCCTTACTTTTTCCGTCACCTCTTCAATGTTCGTATCTTTGTGAGGAAATGGTACACGGTTTGTTCCATTTATCTCCCCCCGAGTGTCCTGCTTTCTCTTCCCGATCTTTAACACTTACTGGACTCCTTGCCGGGGCCTGTGCTCCTGCTAGGCGATTTCAGTTGTCGTCATACTCTTTGGGGTGATGTTCTGACAAACTTCCGGGGCTGCCTTCTTGAACCGTTCATCCTCTCTTCTTCCCTGTCTCTTCTGAATTCTGGTGAGCACACTCATTTAGACTCTCGGACTGGCACCCCTTTCCTGTCTTGATCTTTCTCTCTGCTCATTGTCTTTTTACATGGATTTCATATGGCGAGTTCTTGATGACCTCCATGGCAGTAACTATTTCCCCATCCTTGTTACCTTTTTCTCTTTTCACCCTCCCCTTTCCTTCCCTAGGTGGCAGTTTGCTAAGGCAGACTGGAACCTATTTTACCCTTCTTTCCTCTCTTCCTTCTGGCGTCTTCTCCACTCTCTATGTCGACGATCTTACCCTTTGCTGTCGGGGGTGATGATTCGCCTCTCTTTCAACGCCGGCTTCAACTTGTGATTGATGCCGCGTCGTCTTGGGCCATAGATCATGGCTTCAGGTTCTCTACATCTAAGACTTGTGCTATGACTTTTGTTTGGAAGCATGTCGTTCTTCATCCTTCTTTGTCGCTTTATGGTCACCCCATTGTGTACAAGGATTTCGCTAAGCTTCTGGGGTTCATTTTTAACACTCGTTTGTCTTAGTCGCCCCATATCTGTTACCTCCAAGTTGAATGCTCTAAGGCCCTTACCCTCTTTTGGGTGTTGTTCCATACTTCTTGGGGAGCAGATAGGTGCACTCTCCTTGCTTTACATTCCTCTCTCGTCCTGTCTAAACTCGATTATGGTTGCCCTGCTTACTCGTCTGCTTCTCTTTCAGCTCTTCGGTGTCTTGATGCTTTGCACCATACTGGGTTGCGCTTCAGTTCTGGTGCCTTTCGTTCAACTCCCGTCCTCAGCTTGTATGTTGACACTGGCTTCTTATCTCTCCAGGACCGCCATGATTGCTACTGTCTTCGCTATCTTGCGCGGTCCATGCAACATCCTTTCTTTCGCCTCTTGTCATGCTTTAACTTTTACCCCTCCTGCGGTTCCTGTTCCTCTTCACCACCTCCCTCCTCCTGTCTGGTTATCTGACTTACAGGATTCTCTTTCAGTTCGTATTACTAATATTTCTCCTCGTGTTGTTCCTTCTTTGCCCCCGTGGAGAGTCCCCCTTCCGCAGTTTTGTACATCCTTAACCCACATCACTTAAGCTTTTACCCCTCCTACAGTTCTGAAACGCCTTTTCCTTGAGCACTTTTCTTCGCACTCCTGCTCCGTTTCCATCTTCACTGATGGGTCTAAGTCTGCAGATGTAGGCTTTCAGCGGTGTGGGCTACTCTGTTTTTCCTGATTCCACTTATATGTGTCGCTTTCTTCCAGAGATTAGCATCTTCACAGAGGAACTTTATGCTATTCTTTATGCTCTTTGTCTCCTGCTTTCTCATTGTCAATCTTCCTTTGTAGTTGTCGTTGACTCTCGTAGTGCCCTCATGGATCTCGGGTCCTTTAATCTGGTTCATCCAGTGGTTGTCGAGATCTAGCATTGGCTGTTTCTTATTCACATTAAATTTAAGTCAGTTGAGTTTTGCTGGGTTCTCACCCATATTGGTGTCTCTTTAAATGAACGTGCAGATGCTGCCGCTAGGGAAGCTATCCGCTCTTGTCCCATCTCTTGTAAAGGTATTCCTTATTCCAACTTTTACCCAGTTATTCATTCCTCCATCCTTACCGTTGGCAGCTTGTTGGTCTTCTGTTACTGGTAAGGAACTGCGTACTCTAAAGAGTTGTGTGTCCTCATGGCCATCCTCCTACCACTGTGACCGGCGATGG